ACAATTCAATCAAAACAGTTGATTAGATGAATCACAATGGATTTTTTCTCTTAAAAGTTTATATGAGTGTTGACTGATACTATCTGTGTGTAAATTGATTGTTTAAATAAGTATGACCACGTTTTACGTATGAACAACATGTTTAATTCAGATATTCAACAAAAATTTCATAGCCTAAATACAAGTTTAGTATAAATATGAAATGAAAACTGGTTAGAGAGATGGATTGTTTACTCGATTATGTTAGAATCGAATTAGCGTAAACATTTGGTTCTTGTAGCAAATGAACTTTCTCACCAATGTAAAAATATATTGTACAATAAGACAAAAACTATTATAAACTGCCTATTGATAAACTAAGCCACTTTTAACGGCAGCGCAAGTATAACCACACCCCACCTTATATATATATATACCTCGGAGGTGGAGAGGTAGAAATTAGTGTAACTTCTGAGGTATATTGCGACTTCTGACTTCATTAATGACAGATCACCAACTTTGAAATGAATTTCTCAAAGATCAAGCGAAAATTTATGACCTATGTAGACAAATAATTTGAAAATGAGGAGATAACTAACTGTTTACATCGAATGAGGATTACTGTACATCACGAAAAGGCTAAAATTAAAAAGTATTAACTACCAGATCAGACTTAGTAACTGAGTGATATTATGCTCACCTTCAAACTTAAAGGTTTCAAGTTAAACATCATGTAGGAGTCATGAATTAGTATTAACATAATGTCAAAAACTTCTTATTTTTCAGTAGCGCTACAGTTGATGTCTTTTCGCAACAAAAGTAATTTGAAAAATATTGGAGGGTTCTACAAAAACTATGTAAATCAATGAATCAATTCTTCAGGAAATTTCATGTTTGTGTTACTTACCGTCGGGCAGTCAAACCAAGAAATAATAATCCTAGCATAACATAGCCAATATTTGAAATAATATTGTTAAACGCCGTGAAGATGCCAAGTGAATGAGCACATTCAAAGTTGTAATAGCATAAATCTTCATTACCAGTTTCAAAAACAGCCTACTCATATTATTTATGTGTTGAAATAAAATAAAAAAACTCATATTATTGAAGAAGAAATATACAAAACTTAATCAGTCAGTCAGTCAGTAACAACGTAGAACTTCGTACGTACGTACATCAGTTCGAGTTGCCACACCACATTAGCACAGAGATGCACTTGTCGATTCAAATCCCGTAGTGGTAGAGGTAATAAGAGTATAAGCAGTAATCGGGAAGATTAGGGTTTGGAGATGTTATTTAAAGAGTATAATCCAGTGAAAGAAATTTGGAAAGAGGAAAAAAGGGACATGAAGAATTCAGAAGATTAGAGTTTGGGAGAACACAGAGAGTGGATGCACCTGCGCCATTGCAAACGATTTTGAGCCATGTCATTCAGGGTCTCTAACCATCGGTTGCTGTCATCTCGCGGTCCCCAACCAGGTAGTCTACACCTACCAACATGACTCAGTCCACTTGTCAGTGACTTCATGGACTTGTGCCATGTTTTGGTTTGGCCGCCCCTAGCTTTCTTCAAACCTACTCCTATACCACTGAACATAGCACGTCGAGGCAGTCGGTGGCTGAGTATATGTAACACGTGTCCCAGCCATCTCAACTGATGAAGTTTCACTACTTCATCAATTGATTTGCCATCCTTACCTAGTACCCGTTTCCTAACAACTGTGTTACTTACTCGATGGTCCCAGGATATACGAGCAATGTTTCGAAGACACCTATGATCAAATACTAGTAACCTACGGATATCCTCAACTCTTACCGGCCATGTTTCACTGCCATAAAGTAGGACGGAACGAACTGCTGCGCAGTAAAATCGTCCTTTGGTTGATAGACGGATATCTCGCCTACGCCATAAATGACGCAAGTTGGCAAAAGCTAGTCGAGCCTTCTGTATCCGTGCTGAGATTTCGTCACACACCAAACCACAAGGGCTGATGAGACTTCCAAGATAAGTGAAGCGGTCGACACATTCAACTACTTCGCTCCCTATCACTAGTTCGGGTGTCGATGTAACCCAATCCTGAAGCAACATTTTGCATTTCGAGGGAGAGAATCGCATCCCGAACATGCTTGCATTGTTGCTTAGAGTGGTCAGAAGACTCTGCATTTTGTCAGCGTCTTCACCAAATAAAACGATGTCATCTGCATATTCTAAGTCAACAAGTGAACCTCCTGGTAGAAGTTCAACCCCTGTAAATTTAGATGAGGAGAGTGTTATCTCTAAAAGTACGTCAATGACAAAGTTGAACAAGAATGGAGAGAGTGGACAGCCCTGACGAACACCACTTGAGGTAATCAATTCTGATGACAGTTCGCCATAAGCTCTCACTCTACCAGTTGTGTTCGAGTAGAGAGCCTTTATAAGGTTAATGTACTTGTTTGGTACTCCTTTCAGTGACAAACACTGCCATAGAACCTCACGATCAGCTTGCGCTTAAGCTGACTCCGCTCTTCATTATGTTCAGAGCCAGGTGGAATGAGTTTTCGAGCATCTATCAGTGCGATAGATGCTGCTGAGATCCAGTGTTGCTCCCTAACTTTACGGTTTACCTTACTAGCAGATATCACTGCTGTTTCCACAGCTTTTCGGATATCGTTCCATGCTGCCTCGGGGTGGGCATCACATACATGGCTGCCTAACTGTTTTCCTAGTTGTTCCTGAAATATATTCTTAGCTTGACTATCATTAAGTAGGCCCTAAGAGGTTTCCTTGCAGCGTCTTTCCTACGTCCAGTAAGACGCAAGCAAATACGCGCTCGCACTAGAGCATGATCTGAATCTAGGCATGTGCTCCAGAATGAGCGACAGTCTTCTATCGAGCCCCTCCATCGGTGGCTGATAGCGATGTGATCTATTTGGATCCAACGTTGGGACGAATTAGGGGTTCTCCATGTTAAAAGATGTTTTTCCTTATGCTTAAAGTTAGTATTTGCAAGGAACAGGCGGTTATCTGAGCATAGCTGCCACAGACGGTCGCCATTATCTGTTCTTTGAGCCACGACACCATAGGATCCACCTAGGTGTCTTTCCATATCGCTTAGTTTACCAACTTGAGCATTAAAGTCACCGGCCACTATTACTATATCCGAGCGCTTAGCTTTTCGGAGAAGTTCCGAAAGCTTTCTGTAAAACTCATCTTTTACATCATCTGAGCTGCAGTCAGTGGGAGAATAGGCAGAGACGACGAAAAGGCAACGACGAGTGTCCCTATCTTTCTGGATCCTTACTGTTCCGTTTAGTCGGACAGCACACAAACGACTGTCTACTGGGATCCACTCTAAGAGAGCTAGTTCTGCCCTAGGACTCAATGCTATATCTACGCCGGCGAGGCCACGGGAAGCAGAATCAAGGCTTCCAGATACACGAAGAGTAAATCGAGTCGGTTCTTTATTTTGGCATGGTGAGGTCAAATGAATGACGCTACTCGGATCCTGTATGCGCGTTTCGGAGACGCAGCACACATCGATGGCGCGAGATTCTAAAGTTTTAGCTAAGGAAGCCTACTGTCCTATTTGGCAAAGTGTTCGTACGTTAAAAGCTCCTACGTGTAGTTTAGAGCGTGGTTTCAGGAGACCAGGAATGGCGTTCCACATACTCGAATCGTTTGCCCTAGCGGTGCGAGGTGATAAAGAGACGTGAGGAGGCTTAGTCGGGAGGATAAGAGAGGTATTAGGGGGTGTAGGAAGGATTTGAATGTGACCACCTTGGTCTCGTGTGCTGTTAGGGGTATGATGGCTGATGTCACTTCCCGGCTGCCCACACTGTGGAAGGGTATTTCTTGAGGAACCTGAAAAGGAAATTGGATTAGTGTTGGTCTTGACGACCTGGGAGCGTGACCGCAGAGCCCAAGGGACAACTGCTTGAGGCCGGTCGCGCACGGCCTTTTTGTGGAAGGTTTTTGACGTGTTAGCTCCGTTCTTCAAGGGCCTTACCGCCGGAGACGGAAATCCGTGAGGTAAGGTGAGGTGTGCATTTTTAGGGTCGACCTTTTCTAACCCCACCCCTCCTTGTTGGAAGGCAGCATCGCTGTCATGCTGGTTGTCCGAGGGAAACACCTTACTGCTGTCACACCTCTCTACAGTCAGCAGTACGACTTCGCCCTCAGACCTTGAGTTGCTGCTTTTAGTCTCACCGTTCTCCAATCGACCTGCCTGGCATGGTAGAACCTGCAGGAACATATATTCCAGCCAATATAGCTCGGTTGGGTCATCACGATAGGCAAGCCCGACCACCGCGTCAAGGTAGCAGCTTCGATCGGGACAAAACTTAATAATAAAACATTATGAGAAACGTCAATTAAGTAAGAGAACATATTGGCTACATGTATATTATACTGATATAATCGGTATCCACCTCTAGTTGATTTATACCCTTCCCTCCAACAATTAAACATCTCAGCATATTACACTCTATACCAAGTTGCCCAACCTAATCACCATATTGCAACTTGATCAATAGAATTCGGTCGGCAATAAAGGGATTAAGTAAACTTAACATTGGTCACTAGTCAGTGGTCAAGCAGTAGTAAACTTCTAAACTAATATAAATTGTACAGTTTAGTAGAACAGGCAAATATAATATCAGTAGTCGTTCGTTAATAACACTAGATAACTATTTAGTTAATTTGCAAGTAGTTATTAAACGTAAACGAGATTGATAGTACCTCAGAACTCTGGAAACAAATTATTTAAAAAGTTAAAATGACGCTACATCTCATCTTTCAGTTTAAGTGAGTTTATCAATGTATCATACAAACCTATAAATCAGTTACAAAGATGGCGTGATCTTTAGTAAAACTAATATTTCGCAACCCTATAAATATATAAAATACAATGAATATATACATATATAGAAAGAAGATATAAGTTACCTTACCTTTTGGTATGTCATGATTAATTGTACTGCTGGTAATCCATAGAAAATGGATATGATGATTAAATACCTATAAGATTCATTAAATAAGACGGAAGAAACGATAAATTTAAAGTTGACATACCTTTAATTAAAAACAAACAATAATATGATACTAAATTCAAGAAGAAAAACCGATCATCTACAAAATAACTGTTCCAACTACGAAAAACACTGCATCGGACAGAGTGGACGACTGCTTCATCTTCGTCCGCACAAACATCAATTAACGGTCAAACACCATGACATATCTTCGCTTATATCAATACATATGGACAAATGTAAACACACATTCGACTGGAAAAATATTAAGATCTTGGATACAGGAAATTCTAAATACACCAGAGAATCTTTGGAAGCTTGGCATTCAAGTCAATCAGCAATCAACATACACATTGAAACCGACCCAATCTACCAAACAAATAGGAAAAATCATGGACAAATATAGGACCAAGAATCAAATCAAAGGGAGGTACAATCAATGTAAAGAAGTAGACAATGAAAGATTAAAGGTCAACAATAACCAACCAAGATAAAGATTGGACAAGACAACCTGTGAGTCATATGTGGAGAAATTTGAACAATTTACTTCTATCTGAAGTTTGTGCTGATGATGTTGCTCAGACGAACAATGAAAGCTCCACGACCAAACCATCCAGCCCAAAGAACAAAACTCCACCTAAATCTTAGATATTTTTATCAATCAAAGGTAATAACGTTACTTGAGAAAAAAACTATCGGGTGCCCGTTGTCCACTCTTAAGATTGTAGATTATTTAAAATAATTCATAAACTATTACTCAATATTAAAAGTCAATAACCAGCTTTTAAAGTAACAACTGTAAGATTTTCTTATGTTAGTGCTTTACTTCAACATTACCATCGCTCGACCTTACATGATTCAATTCGTATCTGCGACAGTTTTTTCTACCAATTAATAAAGTACCATATTACCTTGTAATGGTTAATGCTTTCAAAGCAAAACTAATTGAAAACAATGTCATGATTGAATACAAATACAGAAACAATCACTGTTTTAAAAACTTCCCTTAATGTATAAATTTTGTAAACTTTTATGCCATGAAAGGATAAATTTTAACAACGATGGCTTTATTTATTATGTTTAGTATAATATTGAATTGTCAGCATAAAAACGATGAGATGGAGAAGGAAGTCCTTTAAACTTATTGATTGGATGGGTGATCTACTGAGACAGGCGTAATTTACCATAACGTAATAACTACCTCTATCGCCCAACCGTTGGAGGATTTTATACTGAGAATTGCTCATTGTGGAACAGATAATTAATATTGAAAAAAATATTTAATAATTAAGTATTTTAATGATCAGTCTTGGTTATTGTTGGGGATGTTAGATCCCCAGAACTCACTTCGTAAATGCTTTAATTCTATTTTGAAAATTTAAATTTCCTTGTTTTCGCGCCAAAAGCGCACTTTTCACCTTCATATCGTATTTCCCATTTGAGGGAATCTTTAACGCTATTGGTCCGTTGTGTATTTTTAGTATGCTATTTTTGCTACGCTTCCCAAGGACAGTTTTATGAAGTATATATACGTTTGATTTGTGTCTGTTATTATTCACTCTTGCTTCTGGCTTACGGAATATACTTTCCCGTTCCAAGCTTAGACTTCTTCCTCTAGTTAGCGGGGCTGAGACGCTTCAAATAGCTAGCTTATTGGTCTACGGTCACACATCTTTGTTCCGTTCGCATACTAAGTGAACTCGTAATAGCTTCAAACCTAGCAGTTATATTACTACCAATATTTTAAAGTCAGAAACTTTCTTGATCATAACCATTAAAACAGTACAAATAGCTTTGAATGTGCTTACCAGAAATAAAGTAAATATTTTCTATTCAATGTTCCATAACGTTTTTTAGACAAATCTGATACATATAATAACACCTTAATAATAAAAAAGAAAAAAATTAAATAATATTAATTAATAGATTGATGGTTACGATCTCTGTGCGTGTGTGCAGCAAAAGATTGAAATGAATTTGTCATTTCTTAGTTTGCTGACAGATCGTGACACACAAAAAACAAATCCGTCATTACAACATTTTAAACTGTTCATTATTAGACTCACTCATAATTGAGAACATAAATAATTACAAAAGTTACTTGTTGTTACTATTGATGATGATAGAAGGGAAAGTAAATAGGTACTTATTGTAGTAATTTGGTGCGCCTTTAATGAGTAATTATTACGAATAAAACTTTGAAAGAGTGAAATTTGAAATTTCTTGCATGGGGTTTAAAAGTTAGAAATGACGAAAATTCTAAACATTCCTTTTTGGTTTAATTTTGGATGAATTTTCATGGAGAACACATCGTTCAACGTTACTCATCTTTAACATTCAAAATGAAAAGCGCTGATCTGATAATGCCAAATGTCATAACATATAATTGAAAAAAATTTTCACTATAGTTGTTTTATCCCGACGAGGATTATGAATGGTAACTTTTGAGAACTATTTATTGGACAAATATTGTACGTATATATTCTCAATGTATAACTATTCAGTAGCTAGATTATGTATATCTATACTCCTCTTATTACAAGCTTTATTTTGACCCATAAACTATTATTATACGACTTGCCGTTCTTGGGTTATGGCCAGTCTATTAATTACAGGCCCCCACATTCACAGCCACATTTGACTAGATCTCGTGCAAATGGTGTTTTTCTATTTTGTGGTGCGATGTGGTTTGTTTGGTTTGTATATAAACCCAGTGTATGTTTGAAATACATGATTTATATTGCAGAGGCTGAGAATGGTGCTCTGGACTCAACAGGCAGGGTAAGGTAGAAAGAAGGACCGATAAGGACTCTAGACTGCTCTAACAGGTTTACACGTCATTTGTCCGGTCGGTAAATCACTGTTCCCTAAATAGCGGCATCGTTATGTTATATATTAATAGGGCACAAGGCCACAAGTTATAACAATAATATATCACTTAAGTCCAGAACACTAAACACCATCTGGTAAGCTTTTAGATGACAAAATTTGCATTAACTATGCCATGGCTAGTAATGGAATCTCGTACTTTTCTCTGAAAACCCCGCAGCGTTAAGCACTGAAAAAAAGGCACTGTGTTCGAGTTAAAATACAAACACCAGTTGACCAGTTGACAAATCCCAAACAAGACGAAAGGTGCTTCCTAGGTTCCACTACTTGCTATAGTCAATCTGTTATATTAAATCTAAGATAAAATGGCTATATAAAGGCGATTGTTTTAGCAAATGTAATGAAAACTATAACTTATGGAAGAACCAATTGAATTACTGACAATGAGTCTTGGATTTCGAAGCGAAATTTATTCGCCGATATAGATAAATAGGATTTCGGTACTATAGATGATATCAGTTTGTAATGGAAACCCTTACTTTAACTCCCAAATTATGATTCCTGATACTAATTTATAAAACCTTTTTGACCTTAGTAAGCAGGTGGGTTGTCTCAAGGTGACTTATAGACCGTCCATAAATTATAGTCTCACCAAAAAAAGTTCACAATATCAAACATCATACATAACATCGTGCATTAGATTTACAAACTGTAACTATAACTGACAGATTGATTGAAGTTAAAAATGTAAACCAGTGGATATCAGTTTAATGGTCTAAATGTGATAAGCTAGTCACAAGACCTAGAAATTCTTTAAGTTATATATTATATAGGCTCATGGGCGAGAACTACTTTAGAATTTTAAGGTATGAGAAGGCAGGTACTAGATATCAGATGATTTTTTAATTGATGTTATAGTGATTAAACAGAGTTAACAAAATATAAGGACAGATCGACCAAATAGTTGTAGAATAATCAGAAAATTCACTTTTACTTAGAATTGGATGATCCAAACTAGTCGGCAGTGAAAATACATGAAATATTTTACTTTAAGTCTTATACTTTTAACAATAAAACTTATGATTATCTAAAGTTTTACCTTTGAAAAATAATCTTATTCTTTGTTAATCTAAAGCTATTCAATCTACCGAATATATTTCCACAATATAATAGAGAATAAGTTGATTTATTTACAGAAAAGATTTTAAAAACGTAAGATATGTGAAAATCACTATTAGTTACTTTATGATCAAAGTATATGACATGAGTTCCTGATACGAATTCTGTTCTATCTATCTGGTAGCTGATTAGCAGTATCAATAGTCCTCGCATAAAAACCTATTGAATTGTAAGTTAACATTTTTTCAGAAATAGAACTGATAAACTGTTTTAATTTGGTACAGCAAACAGAAACTAATTTTTTTCAGAAAAAAAACTTAAATCATTTGACAAGAACTTACATTCATCTTATACATTGGAATAAATTCTGAATTTACATCTGTCTGATCATCTGTTAAACCAATACTACTCACAGAATCTGGCTTATCATTTCGATTTTTATCATTATTATTAATCTCATGACTGGTATTAACAGTAGTATTGTTAGAATGTACAACAGCTAATTGCTGAGATGTATTAGGAATCTCTTGACCAATCATTGTAGAATATGTAGAATGTGTTGGTATTTGTATTTTGTCTGAAATAGTAGTACTATTAGTAAGATGATTTAAATTAGAGAAATGATTCTTTTCTTTTCTTGATTGAATTTTATTATTAGCACCGATGCAACTACCACCACTTACAACATTGTTATCATCATAATCATCTTCATCATCTGTGGAACTGAACCAACCGTGTGAGCCTTGTATTTCAACTAGAGGTGTTTGGTGAATTGTACTACGAAAATGAAGACTAGATTCCATTGAATTATTTAATGAAATACTCTGATAATCTTGTGGTAAACTTAATACTTGATGGTGTATACCAGTATGAGACGGTCTAAGTATGTTCAAACTATCTGATGAAGTTTTTACTATATTTGGACCAGAGGTAAACGGACGTTTTCTCATATTATTGATAGATTTCATTTTTTTGTAGTTCTCTAATGATATTTTCGTTTTATTGTATACAACAGCATTATCATAAGACGCTGCAATGCAATGGAAAAAAAGCACAAATACAAATAATTAATTGGTTAATTCACTCATTTATAGCGTAATTTGAAGAAAATATACATTGAAAAAAAAAACACAAACTGACAACATTTAAACATAAACACACATACACACAGCTATAGACGTAGAATTATCGACCATGACACGATATCTGTAACAAACAGAATCAGGGTATTAAAATGAAAAGAAGGGAGGGGAACCAACAATTTTTACAAATAATCAATACGTTGGTAACTTATAAAAGGGCATGACAACTACACAGAATTGATGACAATTAAAACAAAGAAAAACCTAACAGAAAGATACATAAATGATTTTATTGTAGAAAAATAGAGGTGTTTAGTAATAAGAGTGATTACGAAGTAGAGAGGAGGGAATCAACAAGTTACCTGATTCTACAGGAATACTTTGAGTCTGTAAACTATTACTATTAACATTATGATGTAGTTCAGTATGACTGGAATTGAATATAC